CGAGCAGCCAAAAACTGAGTACTACGAACCGGTTCAGTTGAATTACTCCGATCTAACAGATATCTGTTCAAATTCCAAATGTCCCTGCGTCGAAACTCTGCGTTTCACTTCACACAAAGAAAATTTGTAAGAAGGTTAAAAAACACTTAAATCTTCAAACTCAAGTTTACATTTCACCTAATTACCCTAATTTCTCTATACATTTTAATTACCCCTCCAAAGATTCTACAAGAGGTTAAAACACAACTTAAAACCCCGCTTTTAACCTCTTACCTAAACCAAACTCTTGTTTGGAACTTAAATCCGCCTTAACCGATCCTTACACGAGCTCGGATACACAACTACCGAATCTAAACATAAACCACCTTTGGTATGCGTACAATCGATTTGAGTCATCGAGAACTTAATCTTCGTAGACGAACTTTTCGATTTCCCGACTACAAAGTCACCAGCATGGTAATGACTCCAGTTCCCTGTTTCGGTTAACATACATTGAGATGAAGAATGTTGACCATCTTCAGTCCAGAGTTGAAACCGAACCGGTTTTATATCCCAACCGTGAACCTGTTCAGTGTTGCAAACCTTCCAACCAAACCGCTTGTCCGGTTTGCCTAACTGAAGCCTGAAGAACACACTGTAAGTTCCAGCTGGAAATGGGAAATCGATTTCTCCATCGACTTCAAACCACCAGATTTGCTGAACATATGCTACTGAAGAAAATCTACAGCAATCAACAAAATAAAATACTGTCAAATGAAAAATCATAGTAACACAAAACATTCATTAAAATTTATAGCCTTAATTCATCAAACAATGCGCCACTTTTCGGTAGAAAACACGAATCTTCACTACTTATACCGATGAACCTAACAATAAAACATAGCTTTCGAGGACTCAATTCCGGTCACCGGAGAATACAAACTTTAACCAGAAACACCAAAAACAAACCTATACCATCTAAAAACTCTGAGCAGCCAATCAACTAACCAAAGTTGGTAAGAAGAACACATATTATTGGAGAATTAGTGCAAGGGATCAAATCAACTAACGAACGATTATTTATCATCGATTCGAACAAAGCGAAGTCATAAGTTTCTGCTGATTTGAGGTTGAACTATGATGGAAAAAAAACAATGGTGAGTGAGAAACCTCACCGAGATTCATCAGTAGGAATATGACTCCAGTATCTCCGATCATCAATCCCTGTAATCGATAATCCTTTCGCCGATATGCATAAACAAAGATCACTAGTTCGTTTATCAACCCAAGCTTTCTACACAGAAGTAATCAAAAATTCAAATCAAAACACAAACTTTCTTCTCTAATTGTTCAACGCAAAATCGAAACAGATCTAAAAAGGACGAACCTTTGTTCCTTGGTCGAATGAATTAACACGAGAGAGAAAAGTATAGATATCTCTTTTGCGTAGCTTTTCCGGGAAACCACCAAGGATTTTCTCGAGAATCAATCTATAATCTGGAGGAAGTTTCGATTCCCAAACGAAATCTGCCCAAGACGCACCACGAAAAGCTCTGTTTAGCTTCGAGAATCTACAGATCTCAACTGGATCCAAATTCTCTAGAATCGAAGCTACACAACTTTCTGGTAAATCACCTAAACCAGGATTCAATAGATCTCGATTCCCGTAACAAGACGAAGAAGAAGATGAATCATTCTGAAAGAGAGAGAACCCAGAACCCATTCAATCACAGGGTGATTAAACCCTAGAAGAAGAAGAAAAATTCCTTTTTTGATTTGATCGAAGAATCAAGTGAAATTTGGAGACTTTCGTTGTGGGTTTCTTCTTCTTAGGACGAAGAAATCGAAATCGTGTCTGAGAAACAAAGCAAATGAAGAAGAAAAGAAGGGTTTGGTGACAGACAAATTGTGTAAAGGATTCGGATTTTTTTCGACGGTGACGCAAATGGGAAGGAGATATGTAATATATATATGCTTCAAAGGAGGATCTATATTAAAAAAGATAATAAAAGTATATAATATGTGGCTGATTATATGTGAAAAATCGTTGGAATTTTATTGCTAACCAAAATGTTTTTTTTTTGTTTGCTGTACTTGTAGTATGAAAATAATCTGTTGGATTTTTGGATTTTGTTTTAGCTATTTTGATCATAAATTTTAAACTATTGGCCATACATTTCTATCGACATCCAAATGTTTGTAATCTATGAGCTGTAATAATTAGATAAATAACTATAAGACAAGTGTACAACTATTAATTTAGTTATCCAAATAACCAAGTTATTGGATTTTTTTTTTTTTTTGTTAAAACAGATTTCAATTTTTTTTTTAATTCCTAATAACAGTAGCTCGTTTTTGTTTATAAATTATACATATGCAGAATCCTAATAATATTCAATATAGGTAGACTTTGTATTAAACATGAATAAGACATACTGTATCTGAAATGAAAATTTTTTGACATCCCCTTCCTATTAAAAGAGAAGTACAATTAGTGAAAATAATTATTTGTTTTAATCTTATTGGCTCAAAACTATGACTTGTCATGAAAAAATTATGACATGTCTATAGAAAAGGATGACATGGATTGAATCTTTAATTATTTTCTTAATATAAATTTATCAC